GCTTGGAGTCCATAGTTCTCTGTTGGGAACCAGCCTTGGAGGCCCGCCTGATTGACAAAGTCCAGGTGCGCTGAGGACCCCTGGCCGCAAAGCGAGTCCGGGCAGCTGAGGCCCTTCTGTCTTCCGTCTTTGCTGTTGGTATGGCTGAAGAAATTCTGTGCAGTCGTGGAAGAAGAAAATGGCATGTCTATGTGAAGTACTCACAGCTAACCTGAGAATGTCATGGTTCATTTTTCCATTTTCCCATTTTGCCGCTTGGCCTTTTCTCACATATGCAAGGGTTAAACTCTGAAACACATCAAGAATGCTTTCTTTCACTTGGTTATAAGTTACTAGATATTGCTTGAGTAAAAATGATTTAAGTATATTCACTCCTTATTTGATTTAGAATTATGCAGTTTAGTGTTTAGACATAAGGTTTTTTAGAGCACAAGTTTATAGTAAGTTCATTATGAATTCATTATAAGTTCTTACACTTTTCTAGGAGTTATGTAGGTGATTTATAGTACTGTTTTCACTGACTTAGGATAAAGATTAATCGTTAAGGTTTTTACTTAATTCAATAGTTAAAACTCTAAGTTAACATTTATAGAGGGGGTTTTCACTGAACTCATAATATACTAATCAGACACTTTTATGAAAAACTAACTAAAGACACAAAGCAAACTTGGGGGTCTGGGAAACATTACTAAAAGCTTCTTTTGAGTTTTCTTTAGAAATAAACACTGCAGGATAAGAGAAAAGTAATGAAGACACCTGGACAAGAGAGGCAATTACAAAGCTCTGAAGGTCATAGAAGCCCCAGAAGGAAAACTACTGCTATATGAAGAAATGTACACTTGGAAACTTTCTTGAGACATTTCAAGGACTGTAATTCAGGACTTTGGACTAAAACTATCATTTTTGACTTTGTGAATAAGACTCATTGTCTGAATGTTTATAGGGTTCTTGGCTTGTTTGTTGCTAAGACCACTAGATGGTAACTTTTAGAGGATATGTACGTGAAGGGCTTTTCTTTGTCTTGCCCCTTTACAAATGGTATAAAAGCCTTCCCTTAGTTAACATTCAACGTCATCTGTTCAAGAAGCAGGTGTCCAAGTATAATGTTTTCATCTTTCGCCTATCCATCTTTCCTTCAGGAAACCTCACGACCCGGCAGGGGCTGGACCCCCGCAGTTCTCAGAGCCACTGTGCACACATCAGCATCATGGACACTTTCTCGTGGCCTGTGGTCTCCAAGGGTCTTGCTAGCTTGCCACACCTGGGGCATTCACACCCCACCCAAGTCCCCTCTCCTGCTCTCACTCTTGCTTCCACCCAGAGCACCTGCTCCTCAATCTTCAGGCATATTAAAAAACTAGCCCATCCTCCCAATTTCTGAAGCTCAGCTTCTTTCATGACAGGGTCCCTTCTTTCTCATAACTGCAAGTGAACTTCTCCCATTGGATTCTGAGGTCGCTCATTCTTTCTGCTGTGTAGGTTTGTGGAAGCTGAAGACTGAAGATTGGAAATGGCTAGGTATGGGGTGTCAAATAGTCATACTCAGAAACAGTTTCTTTAAATTACTTATGTGCCCTCAGGTGTGCTATTTAATATCTCTGGTCCTTGGTTTTATGCATCTGTAACATGAGTTTAAAATAGTATTTTCCTCATGTAATGGTGATAATACTGAAATGCATTCACATGAGAAGGGACGTAAGAAAGACTTCATGTGCAGTAAGCATGTGTTAGTTCCCATGGAAGTTATCCTTAAGATAATTTTCTCTCCTAGGTGGTAAGGGCATGGAGAACAGAGTCCTGTCCCTTGCTGTCACGTATCCTGTGGCACTGAGCATACGCCAACTGGGAACACAGCCGAAGATTCCTGAATGGATGGGATTCTCTCGATGGTTAGCCCAGTAGACTGGAAGAAGCCACTCTTTCAGCCACAAGTAGCAAAGGATCTTAATTCAGTTTCTCTCACCTGGTGTGTTATCAATGTGATACATGATCAGTACAAGAAGAAAGGAGGAAAAATCATCCCAATGGTCTACATTTCTTTTTTTTTTTAATTTTAAAGATGTGGGGTACAATTCAGGATTAAGTTTGCAAGTGGTCATCATGCAGGTAAAATTTGGAACTCCCTGGTCTACATTTTCTAGGCCAGGCATAGTGGGCATTTCATGTTGTTTCAAATTGCAATAGAATAATGACTATTTTAACTCAGAAATTCTTCTGTAGGACCCTCTGGTGAGTTCATGGGTTTCCCTTCCCTGGTTGGCTGCCCACAAGGGTGAGAACACTTCTTTCCATTTATTTATTTGTTTGTTTGTTTGTTTGTTTATCCATCCACCTATTCATCCATCCATCATCCATCCATCCATCTATTTTCTTGCTTGATTTTTGCCTTAAACTCATAAAAACGTCATTGGATGAGTTGGAAATTATTTCCTTTTTTGCTTCCCTGTGGTCCTTCAATGTGGAGACTGGCACTTCCTGAGCAGGGTGGGGGAGCCAGAAGGCAGACATGCTTCCTCTCAGGGTTCCCTGCACTCCTGCATCCTCAACAGCATGTCAGGCCCAGGGTCCCACAGACCAAGGGTCAAAATACCTTGCTGCATGTTCTTACTCATATGTGAGAGCCAAAAAGTTGATCCCATGGAGGTACAGGCGTAGAATGATAGATGCCAGAGGCTAGGTAAAGCATGTGGATGGTAGGAGGGTTGAATGGAGAGAGGCTGGTTGACAGGGACAATCACACAGAAGGAACAAGATCTAAGATTCGGTAGCAGAGTGGGACAACCGGAATTAACAACAATGTGTTGTATATTTCAAAATAGCTAGAAGAGAGGACTTGGAATGTACACAACACATAGAAATCATAAACACTCAGGTGTGGATACCCCAGATATCCTGACTTGATCATTACACAGTCTATGTAGGTAACAAAATATCATATCTATGCATCGACATGTACAAATATGAGTGGACCAAAAAAAAAAACCCGGAATTTGTTCATAAAAATCTGTGTATTTCTTCATATCTGTTTAAACTACTGTCAACTTCAAGTCATATTCACCATTGGATGCAATACACCTATCAATACGCCTCTTCCACTGCTCAAAACAGTTTTTGAACTCATCAATTTTGATGCCTTTTAGTGCTCTGTCATTTTTTGTTTCACCTCTTCCACATTGGCAAAACATTTCCTTCTGAGGAGTTTTTTCATCTGGGGAAACAACAACAACAATAACAACAAAGTTGCTTGGAGCAAGATCAGGTGAATAGAGAGGGTAGTGGTGGGGGTCATACTGGTTTTGGTAAAAAACTGCTGAACACTCTGCACAGTGTGGGCAGGTGCATTCGTAAATCACCCATCATGAAATGGGCAAACACGTTGACAGAATCTTCAAAAACAAAAAACAATTTCACTGAACCCAAATGCAGCCTCTCACAACACCTGCTAGAGCAACTGGTGCTGATGTGACGCTAGAATATTTACCTAGTGGGGGAAACCTGGACTATAAGGGCCCCACCCGCCAAAAGATAATTCCAATTTTAGGAGTCTCCCTCATACAATGCATCTCATTTTTTTTTTAAAGAATCTGAATGGAACATCTGCTTCTTAAGCAAATAAAATGCTTGGATTATTCTAAATTACACAAGATTAACATGACTTGAGCAAACCACTTCCATTGGTTTCATTTTCCTCATCTGTAAAACTGGGTCTTGAATCAAGTAATTTTTTGAAAGTCTTATATCTAAAAATCGACCTCTTATATTACCCAGCAATCTCCCTGCTGGGAATATACCCAGAGGAACGCAAATCATTCTATAAAAAAATACCTGTGCACGCATGTTTATTGCAGCACTATTCACAATAGCAAAGACATGGAACCAACTGTACTGCCCATTGAAAGTAGACTGGATAAAAAAAAATGTGGTATATATACACAATGGAATATTATGCAGCCATAAAGAAGGATAAAATTATAAACTTCGCAGCAACTTGGATGTATTTAGAATCTATCATACTCATTGATCTATCACAGAAATAAAGAACTGAGTACCACATGTTCCCACTTATAAGCAGACCCTGAACAATGAAAGGGATTGGCAGTAGTGGGAAACTGCCAGGGGAGGGAGGGACACACCTCATCATAAGGGTAACTGATCTCAAACCAGGTGAAGTGGGGACCAAAGTGAGGCCCAAACTTTACCTGTACAATGACCATTTGTATACATAATACTGAATTGTAGATCTTAAAAATAAAAAATTTTAAAAAGAGAAATTAGAAATGCTATAATTATATCATTTACATGCAATTCACTAAGTTTTTATCAAGGTCCTGCCATATATACAATGCAACGTGCACTGAAAAATCATTTTAAAATTAACATAAAGCGAAAACAGAAACAAAAACACCTTACTGCATCTGTGAAACTGTCTGTCTTGACCAGAACAGGGCAAATTGGATGGAGTTGGAGACCATCATGCTTGGTGGTCTATCACAGAGACCAAGAACTGAATACTGAATGCTCTCACTCCTAAGTAGGACCTGAACATTTGTCAACTTAGTTGGAAGGGAGGAATTGGCAGTCCCTGGACCCTACCATGGGAGGGACGGTGGGAGGGACGTAGGGGAAAGGTAGTATCACAAAGGGTACCTGGTTCTAAGCCATGGGAAGTGAGGACCAGTTGGAGGCTCAAACTTTATCTGTGCACAGCCTGCTTGTATAGCTAATCCTGACTTGTATCCCACATCTCTATTTTTAAAAAAGTGTGACCGTGGCACTGCGTTGACTCAAGCCCAGGGAGGGTGCACTTCTGGCTCAGCGGCTTTCTTCACTCTCCCATTGTCATGATCTCTGTTTCCTTGTCTGCAGTGAGTGGAGGGTGTCTCCATCATTCATGTACTAAGCAGGTATTTATTTGCGGTCGTTGAGTCAGGGTCATGTGCTAGGCACTGGGAAAATAAATGATGAACAAGACAGGTGGGTTTCTGGCCACAAGGAGCAGAATGGAGGGTGTGGAAGAAGTGAAAGGAGACTGTGAGGACAAAGCTCTGAATATTCACAGACTGCCCCAGGGGATCTTAGCAGGAGGGGGTTCCAGCTCCCCAGACCAGCTGGAGGGACCACTGTTCATCCACCCACACCTCCCCAGCTCCCCACTCCCCTCCTCCTCCTTTACTGCCTTTTCTCTTCAGGATCCTAAAGATAAGCTGGTACTCACTTAGGAGGAAAGAGTCCGAGAAGGAGAGAACAGCCTGCACTATGGGAGCCGGCATGGCAGGGAGAGTGGTCATGGGGAGGAATGTGGACATTGAGAGGGAGACGGGGAAGAGGAAGAGAGGAGTAGAGAGAAGTTGCAGGAGTGTGGTGAGAAGGAGGGTGAGATTGTAATCACCCATGCCAATGGGTCAGTTTGGAGAGAGAGAAGGAGAAAGAGAGAGAAGGGGAGGGGAGAGAGAAGAGAGAGAGAGACAAAAGAGACCGAAAGAGACACAGAGAGAAAGACAAAGGGACAGAGGGAGAGACAGAGAGAGGGACAGAGAGAGAGAGAAAAGAAAGAGAGAGAGATTGAAAGAGACACAGAAAGACAGAGAAATAGGGACACAGAGAGAGACAGAGAGGGACAGAGAGAGACAGAGAGGGATAGAGAAACAAAGAGAGATAGTGAGAGATAAAGACAGAGACAGAGAGGAACAGACAGTGAGACAGAGAAGAGAGACAGAGAAAGACAAAGAGGGACAGGGACAGAGAGAGAGAGAGAGAGAGAGAGAGAGAGAGAGAGAGAGAGAGAGAGAGAGAGAGAGAGAGAGAGAGAGAGAGGAGCCAGACAGGCTGGGACTGGAGGTAAAGAGGCTTCAGAGAGCTCTGAGGGGCATGGGGAACAAGCTTATGTTGCGGTAACAGCAGCAAATACAGAAACAATTATCTTCTGCTTGGTAAGTTACATTCTACCATGAGGAGAGCCAATACATAGACATGTGATTAAAAGGTACAGCATACCATATTTTTTCCTGAGTCATAGCCGTGTACACATGCATTTCAGTTGGCTCGTCAGTCACCTGTTGAAGGATATCTGCCTTGTTTTCAGTCTGGGGCAATTATGAATAAATCCACACAAACACCTACAAGTCTTCGTGTAAACCTATGTTTTCATTTCATTTGCGTAAACACTAAGAAATGGAGATTGCTTGGTTCCATGGGAAACATATGTTTAACATGATAAGAAACCTCTAGCTTTTTTTCCAAAGTGAGTATTTTCATCTCTGCTTCCACCAGCACTGAACGGGAGTTCCGGCTGTTTGTGTCCCCTTCCTTTCTTGGTAATGTGAGCTGTTCAGTGTTAGCCTTTCTGATCCCCAGGGACTGGTGTCTCACTGTGGTTGTAACAGGCAACTAAATAACAGCAAATTGTGTTGAGCATTATTTTCTGTGTTTATCTGCTGCCCAGACATCAAAGGAACAGATGACTGATTAATACACAAAACATGGATCAATCTCAAACGCATTATAGGGAGTAAAAGCAGCCAGATTCAAAGGCTCCGTACCTTGTACTGTCATTTCTATGACATTCTGTAGGAGACACAGAAAGGAGATTCGACCAGGAGTTTCTAGAGGCTGGAGCTCTGGGGAGCGAGTGACTCCCCGGACGCAACAGACATTGAAAGGTGCCACAATTTCTAGGGTGAAGAGATGATTCTGTATTTCAAGTGTGGTGGTCATTACACATTTGTCAGAACTCAGAAATGCACACTACAGAGACTGAATTTTATTGCATCCATGTTATACTTCAGTAAAAACAAGACAACCCTTTTTGAATGGCTAACGATAAAAGTAAGTAAAAATGTTCTAAAAATATAGTCTACCAGTTGGTTAACATCCTCACTGACAAAGTGGCATTTGAGTCAGGGTAAGGATGTTGTAGAAAAGAATTGTGGGCTGTTACCCCATTTAAAAACAAATGTCTTCTTTTTAAATGGGCTAAGGTATATCTGCTTCTTCCACCATGGTCAACAATGTTTACTAGCAACTGCCTCTGTGAGAAAGAGGAAGGGCAACTTCCTGCCTTTGAAGTGTCTGATGTAAAGGTGAAAACATCCTAAGATGTGTGACCAACACTATGGAATTGAATCAATATTGAGATAGGTAATGACTGACACAGATAAAATGAGCTCTCTTTGAATAATTCAGCTTTTCATATGTCTTATTAATGTGTTTGAAATATTAGTATCTCATCCTTAAAGGAGTTCAGATTTTTAATTTCATTTTACAGATAAGGAAGTAGAGGCACAGAGCGTTTAGAGAAATCATACAAGACTACACAGCTAGTTGATATCAGAGCTGGAAATGGAACCCAACTAGTCTGCCCTCAAAGTTTGTGCTGCTTTTTTTTTTTGTTTTTTGAGAAAGCAGGATTTATTGAGAAGATAGAAAAGCCCCCACAGTGGGAGGAGACCTGAAGTGGTTGCCCAAAGTTGTACTCTTAAGACCTAACTATCTTCCAAATTTAGCCTGAATTTAAATATCCAAATAGCTGACTTGAAGTATAAATTAAAATAATATTAGTGGTATGGCTATGATCATATACCTGAGGTATGCTGTTGATGTCAGTCAGACTTGGCTGTTGCTCTCTATTGGAGTTTAATATCAATTACACCTTTCCACAAGCGAAAGTAAGCCACCACTTCAGGGATTTTATCACCAGGATCACTCTATGGTACATTTTCTTATCAACATAAAAATTTTCTCACTGAGTGGCTGCCTATTGCAAATTTGATACTGAAACATGAAACAACCTTTACAAATAAGAACACTTTTTTTTCAGTTGGATTCTCACTCTGTTGCCCAGGCTGGAATGCAGTGGCATGCTCACCGTCACTGCAGTCTCGACCTGCTGACTCAGGTTATCCTTCCGCCTCAGCTTTCCAAGTAGCTGGAACTACAGGCACACGCCAATATGACTGGTTAGTTTTTTTATTTATTGTAGATACGAGGTCTCACTAAGTTGCCCAGGCTGGTCTCGAACCTCTGGACTCAGGCAATCCTCTCGCCTCAGCCTCCCAAAGTGCTGAGATTACAGACTTGAGCCACCACGCCCAGCCAGAACACATTTTAAAAACAAGAAAAGACGATTTTTCTTTTTTTTTGAGTTGGAGTCTCACTCTGTCACCCAGACTGGAGTGCAGTGGCTGCTCCCAGCCACCACAGCCTCACCTGCTGGGGTCCGGAGATCCTTCCGCCTCAGCCTTCCAAGTAGCCAGAATTACAGGCATGCGCTACCACACCCGGCTGATTTTTTGATTTATTGTAGAGATGAGCTCTCGCCGCCCAGGCGGGTCTCGAACCCACGGGCTCAGGCAATCCACTCACCTCAGCCTCCCAAAGGCACGGGATTACAGGCTGAGCCACCGAGCCTGGCTAAGACGATTTTTCTAAGACCAACTGTCATAAGCCAAGATCGTTGTCTCCTTATCATTAAAAATGATTCAATTCCACTCGACAGGAGCTGACTGATGATCTTAAGTGTTTCCCAATGTGTTGGACAAAGATGAAATACGGTCATGTAGAAGGTGGTTGTGCTTCTAGGATGTGCGGGTTTGTAGTTTTCATTAACGTTGAACACTATTTGGCAGTTTTTCTTCAAATAATTTTCATCCTCTCATTCCCTCTCTCTTCTCTTAATAAATGGGTGGAAGTTGTGCCACAGCTCACAGATGGGTTTTCCATTGTGGGGGAATTCTTTTTCTCACTGTGTTTCATTTTGCATATCTTATGTTGCTCTTCTTAAAATCACTATCCAATGATTTCTTTCTTTTTTTTTTGCAATGTCTCATTAACCATTAATACCTCCCAGCAATTGGGCGGAGCCCCAAAAAGCCAGGAATTTTCTTTTGGAGGGCAGGGCCCTTGTAGTACAGGCTTTTCCCACTAGGTAAGTGTTTTTGAAACCTATCAGTATCTGTGTATCAGCGAACTGTGAGAGACTGCATTCGGCTTCAGTGAATTTTTGGGGGAGATTTTTTTCAATGTACTCTTAAGACCTAGCTATGTTCCTTCCAAATTTAGCCTGCATTTAAATGTCCAAATAGCTGACTTGAATCATAAATTAAAATAATATTATTGGTATGGATAAGATCATATACCTGAGGTATGCTGATGATGTCAGACTTGGCTGTTGCTCTCTATTGGAGTTTAGTATCATCTAAACTCCACGTCATGATGTGTGGCTTACGAACATGCCTGTGCTGAGTGTTCAGCAGTTTTTGACCAAAATGGGGAGGACCCCAGTGTGCCACCCTTCCTATTTTCCTGATCTTGTTCTGAGAGACTTCTTTTTGTTTCCCTGGATGAAAAAAATTGTCACCTTCTTTTTCTGATGTGGAAGAGGTGAAAAATAAAAAAAGTCAGAAGCATTCAAAGGCATCCAAATTGATGAGTTCAAAGACCATTTTGAGCAATAGAAAAAGTGTCTCAATAGGGTTATTGCATCAAATGGAGAGCACTTTGAAGGTGACTGAAATTTAAACATGTAACACCATATTTTTTTAAAATTTATTTTATTTTAACTTTTTATTTTAAAGATGTGGGGTACGATTCAGGGTTAGGTACACAAATGTTCATTATACAGTTACCCTTGTTGATGAGGTGTGCCTTCCATCCCCAGGCAGATTCCCACTACTGCCAATCCCACTTCCCTGCTCTCCTCCCGGCAGATTTCCACCACTGGAATATTTTTTTTTTTTCAGTTTATTTTTTTAGTTATAAAGATGGGCCTCTGGCAAAGTCTCAGGATATAAAATAAATGTGCAAAAGACAATCACATTTCTTTACACCAATAATAAACAAACAGAAACCCAAATAAAAAGCACAATTCCATTCACAATAGTCACAAAAAAATGAAATACCTTGGCATCTTCCTAACCAGAGACGTGAAAGACCTTTACAATGAAAACTACAAAACACTGCTCAAAGAAATCAAACATGACACAAACAAGTGGAAAGATATCCCGTGCTCATGGATTGGAAGAATCAACATTGTGAAGATGTCCATCTTACCTAAGGCAATCTACAGATTCAATGCAATACCCATCAAATTACCAGCAACATTCTTCTCAGACCTAGAAGAAACAACACAGGAATTCATATGGAAACACAAACGACCAAGAATAGCCAGAACAATCCTCAGCAAAAACAAAAAAAAAAAAACAAAGCGGGTGGTATCACATTACCAGACTTCAAACTTTACTATAAAGTTACAATCATCAAAACAGCTTGATATTGGCATAGGAACAGGCATATAGATCAATGGAATAGAATTGAAATTCCAGAAGCAAAACCTCAATTTCTCAACCAACTCATCTTCGACAAGGCCTCTACCACCTACTACTGGGGAGAGGAGAACCTATTCAGCAAATGGTGCTGGGAAAACTGGCTGACCACATGCAGAAGATTGAAACAGGACCCCTATCTATCCCCATACACAAAAATTAACTTCAAATAGGTAGAGACCTAAACGTAAAACCTCAAACCACAAGAACCTTAGAAAGTGAAGGACATACCCTCATGGAAATTGGAACTGGCATCCAATTCCTGAACAAAACCCCAAACCCACAGGTCATAAGAGATAAGATAGACAAGTGGGACCTCATTAAACCGACAAACTTCTGCAAAGCCAAAGAAACCATCAAGAGAGCAGGAAGACAACCTACAGACTGGGAAAAAGTATTTGCCAACTCCAGGTCTGACAAAGGCTTAACATCTTGGATCTACAAGGAACTCATACATGCTGAAAGGAAAAAAACAAACAACCCCATTATAAAATGGGCAAAAGATATGAACAGACACTTCTCAAAGGAAGACATCCGAGCAGCCAACAGACACATGAAGAAATGTTCAACCTCACTAATCATCAGGGAGATGCAAATCAAAACCACACTGAGATACCACCTAACTCCAGTCAGAATGGCAATTATCAACAACTCAAAAAATAACAGCTGCTGGAGAGGGTGTGGAGAAAAGGGAACACTGCTACACTGTTGGTGGGAGCGCAAACTAGTGCAACCTCTGTGGAAAGCAGTGTGGGTGATTCCTGAAAGCTCTAAATATCAACCTTCCATATGACCCTGCAATCTCCCTACTGGGAATATATCCTGAAGAACTCAAATCACTCTATAAAAAAGATACCTGCACACGTATGTTTATTGCAGCATTGTTCACAATAGCAAGAACCTGGAAGCAACCATGCTGCCCATCAAAAGAGGACTGGATTTAAAAAATGTGGTACATATACACGATGGAATACCACGCAGCCATAAAAAAGAACAAAAATATGAATTTCGCAGCAACCTGGATGGAACTACAGTCTGTAATACTGAGTGACCTCTCACAGAAACAAAGATCTGAGTATCACATATTCTCACTCATATAGTGGACCTTGAACATCCAATGTAATACTATAAGAAAATGACTGACAGTAGTGGGAAACCATGGGGGGGAAGGGAGATGGGATTAACGGTAGTAAATATCTGTCTGGGGATGGGGAGGCACCTCTTGTCAACAAGGGTGCCTGAATGAAGCATATTTGCATACCTAAACCCTTAACTGTACCCCACAATATCATAATAAAAATCATTGATTATAAAAAAAATTATAAAGATGCGGAGTACAATACAAGCTTAGGTATACAAACATTGATTATGCAGGTACCCTTGGTGATGAGGTATGCCCCTCCCTCCCCTAGCATTTTCTTCAACTGCTAATCCCACCCCGTCCCCTGACAGTTTCCCATGACTGCCAATCTCTTTCTTATAGTATTATAATTGTTCAAGTTCCGCGTATGAGTGAGAATATATGGTACTCTGTTCTTTGTTTCTGGGATAGATCACTGAGTATGATCTACTCTAAATCTGTCCAAGTTGCTGTGAAATTTATATGTTTGTCTTTCTTTATGGCTGCATAATATTCTATTGAGAATACACTTTTTAATAAATAAATTCTATATTTGTGTATATACTTTTATCTCAAATACTTGCAGTTTTCATCTTTAGAAGATCAATTTGAGTCTTTTTAAATACCTTACATGTCTCTGCTAAACTTTTTGAACATAGAGATTTATAACAGTTGCTTTAATGCTCCCCTCTTCTATCTCTGTGTCAGTTCAAATCTGATAAATTGTGTTGTACTGTCTCTTTTCATTCCCAGTTATCTTTGTTTGGACACCAGCCTTTATAAATTGTGTTTTGTTGGATACAAGGTATTTGTACGTTCCTGTACAATTTGAGTTCTGGGATGCAGTTAAATTACTTGAAAAGAATGTGATTCCTTTCAGTCTAACTTTTATGATTCTCTGGGTGCACAGCTGGCTCTTCCCACCACTGAAGCAAGATCTTCTCTAGGGTTATACTCAGTGCTCCGTGGCTTAGGACATTTTCCAATCTGGCTGGTGGGAACAGGCACTGCTCTCACATTTGATTCAATACCAGCCACTGCGCCCTCAAATTCTTTTGAACAGTTCTTTCCCCAGCCTCGGGCAGTTCCCTCCACCCCAGTTCTCTAAACATTGAAGGGTCCTTTTCAGATCTCCAGGATCCTCGCTCTCTGGGTCCTCTTCCCCATGGACCCTAGTTTCCTTATTCTTCCTGGGCTACCAGCTCTGACACCTCAGCTCAAGGCATCCTCCAAGTTCTAACTCCATTTCCCCGCATGAGCTACAAACTGGAAACATTCTCAGAGCAGCCACCTTGGGTGATCCTAGGGCTCACCTTGATTGTTTCTCATACCTTAAGGATCACCGTCCTTCCTTACCTAATGCCCAATGGCTTTCAAATTGTTGATTCATTAATTCTTTTTTTTTTCCGTTGTTGAAGGTGAGACAATAATGTGGTCCCTCTTAGCTCATCTTGGTCAGAAAAAGGAGCCCTTCATTTATTTTTAAATGAAGCTGAATTGCCAAATACTCACAGATATGAACAGTTCTTCTTATGTTCTTACCTTTGGGTAGCTGACTCTTGAGGATATTTGCCACCATTTATTCAACTCTGTCTTTTAATGATCACACATGGATTTTAATGGATATTTGCCTTCAGAATTAATCCCATGTGCTTTTTCTTTCAGTCAGATTTTCAAACATTTATTAAATATCTGCTTTAGGTCAGCCACTGTATTAATTATAGTAGACAAAACACTGCACAATACAGAATTCTTTCCTGCAATGATCATGCAAAATAAACAAATATGAACTGGTGGCAGAGAGTTGAGGAGATAATGAAAACTTATTTAAAAAAAACCTCATTTGTTAAAATCAGTATTTGATATAGCTTCTGAATGTACTTGAAATCAACTTCCATCCATGTGCAAAAATTCAGAATTTTGATGAACTGTCTTTATGTCATGATTCAAGACCTATCACAGACAATTTGGATTGGCCATCTCAAAGTCATTTTTCATCACCTTCTCTTTTCCTTTGTCTTTTATGGATGCTGAAAACAAACAAATAAACAACACACACACGATACTGTACAGCTTCTCTTGTAAATTTGAGTCAACATATAATTTAATTTGAACCAGTGACTCCAATGACAGGAAAGTCGAAATTCTTAGAACAAACCTTCTCTGTCCCCTGGGTCGTGGGGGAGAAACAAAAAACAAATAAAAAGCTCCTTTGAGTAGAAAAAACTTTCACACCTCATTTTTATTCTTTGTTGGAATATAGCTGTGATGTTTGGAGACCAAAAAGCCATTTTGCAACCATGAGGACTAAGTCTCATGTGTTGGGGCTATAAAGAATAGAAGATTGGCCTCTTGACGGCAACGCTGAGCCACATTGACAGTCATAAACTGCCTCCTCTGATGAGGACACAGAACTCCTTCACATATGCATGCCACTGGAATAGATTTGGGTTATCCCCCCAAGCAAACACAATACCTCATATTATGTATTCACTTATAGACTTTTCTTGGGTTTAATTCTCAGTAAGTCAGCTCCTAAAAGTCACACTTTTCCTACAAATCTTTCTTATTTTTAATGAAATAATTCTACTTCCTCTTGGTGAAAATAAAGGAAGGACAGAAAAGCAATGGATTTTAGAATCTGATAAAGGGCAGCGCGCGCAGCCTCCGACCCTAATTTCTCCGCACACCGGAAGGAGGCGGCTGTCTTTCCGTGCCCTGCACAGCCGTGGTTCGTGGTCCCAAGAAGCATCTGAAGTGGGTAGCAGCTCCAAAGCATTGGATGCTGGATAAATTGACCAGTGTGTTTGCTCCTCTTCCATCCACTGGTCCCCACAAGCTGAGAGAGTGTCTCCCTCTCATCATTTTCCTAAGAAACAGACTTAAGTATGCTCTGACTGGAGATGAAGTAAAAAAGATCCTTTTGTGGGTACAGAAGGAATTCCTCATCTGGTGACTCATGATGCTCGCACCATCCGCTACCCTGATCCCCTCACCAAGGTGAATGACACCATTCAGATTGATTTGGAGGCTGGCAAAATTACTGATTTTATCAAGTTTGACACTGGTAACCTGTGTACGGTACTGGAGGTGCTAACCTGGGAAGAATTGGTGTGATCACCAACAGAGAAAGACATCCTGGATCTTTTGATGTGGTTCATGTAAAAGATGCCAATGGCAACAGCTTTGTCACTCGGCTCTCCAACATTTTTGTTATTGGCAAAGGCAACAAACTATGGATTTCTCTTCCCCAAGGAAAAGGTATCCGCCTCACCATTGCTGAAGAGAGAGACAAAAGACTGGCAGCCAAACAGAGTAGTGGGTGAAATGGTCTCTGTGAAGTGTTAAAAAGATCTTTATCTAATTAAAGATAACACAGTGTGGCTCAAAAAAAAAAAAGGAATCTGATAAATGTAGATAAAACCTGGGTTATCTGCTTTTCCTTTCTGTGAAGCTTCTGTCAACCTTGTGCAGGTTACTTCATTTCTCTTTTGATTTGCATTTGTGGAATCATATTCAATGTAGAAATCAAGGATATTAAAAAAGTTCAGGCTGGGCACAGTGGCTCACATCTGTAATCCCAGCATTCTCAGAGGCTGAGGCAGGAGGATCGTTTGAAACCAGGAGTTCGAGGCTGCAGTGAACTATGATCACACCACCGCACTCCAGCCTAGTTGTCAGAGTGAGACTATGTCTCTCTAAAAAATAAAAAAAATTAAAAAGCCTACTCCATGAAACATGTAAGTGTGATCTTTCAGAAACCCCTGTAAGAGAAGTTTTATGCCATGTGTTTCTACTCACATGACAACCTTGAAGTGGAGGGAACACATTCCAGGTAGACTCTGGCACCATCCTTTGCTGTGGCTCATTGAGCAAAGAGCCTGGGGCCTCGTCATGGAAACTGTACTGAGTAGGTTTATTAGGGTAGCTGGTAACACCCTACAGTAGCATGTCAAATCCTGGTCTGTGGCTACTGATCTCAGAGATGGCCTATGACTAAGCAGTTAAGAAACCAACCATACAAATCTGGCTCATGTGAGCCCCCCCCAAATTATGGTTTTGCAAAATAACATTCAACTGTCATAGCCCAATCATTTACGAGGTGATGTAAAACACTTGAGTTATGTTTGTCCAGGCTAGTAAAATAAACGTATGCAAAATATATTGATTAATGAAAGATGAGCATTTTTAATTCAGCTGTCTTTGAATCCCAGTAATTTTTATTTCTCTTATTCACACAAAGCACTTTTTAAATTTTAGCTTTTCAAGACTAATTTTTTTCTTTTTTTAAATATATATTTTATTTTAAAGATGTGGGGTACAATTCAGGATGAGCTATACAAGTGGACATTGTATAGGAAAAGTTTGGGCGGCCTCCCTTTGGTCCCCACTTCGCTTGTTTTGAGATCAGGTACGCTTACTGATATTGGGTTCCTCTCAAGTGTAATTATGATTTAGTGTACTTGTGGATGGTTATTGAAGAGTGATGCTGATCATGATTGTTCCAGTTGTGGTTTTTGGGAAACATTTCATCAAAATGAGTTTTGTACCAGGGTTCACCCAGCGAATCGAATCTTTGAGAACAGAATAATGTGCCACCTGCTTATCATGTCATTTTAAAAACACCCTGCACTTATGATCAATTACTGTTCCTGGAAAACATTGTTTCCTCGGGCACAAGACCTGAGGGTCAGGGTGCTATTAATTCAGAAACAACTTTGGACAGAGCGTGCACAGAGGTTTGTTTGTTTGTTTGTTTGTTTTCAACAGCTCTTTAAACTTTCAGATGAATTGAAAAAGGTAATGAAATGTCCCCGCTTCCCCCCGCCCCCTCCCGGCATCCCAGAGACAGCTTGGGTGAAATAAAACACCTTCTGGGGAACTCTCTTGTGAGATTTCTTGTCACCGCTGCGGTCACTTGGCCAGATGCTTTGCATGTAAACTCACCTGAACCAGCTTTTCCCCGTGAACATGGTGGGAGGAAGCACCTGGGAAGCCCCTGGGTAGAGTCTGGCGTGAGCTGTGAAATAAAAATATTTATAATTAATAAAAGTCCTTGTAGAGGCAGATGGCTTCTCTGCAGCATCTCACAATGCATACGGCATATGCTTAAATACAGCGAGGGGATCATCATGGGTTAATCAATTTCCCTCTAGTTAAAAAATCATTTACAATAACTCTAGACTCTGTATTCCCAGTACAACAATTTTTCACAGGAGGCTCACCCAAGAGACTTCCCTGTGAGCACTCTTGGTCACGGTTTGTGTATGGAAGTTTTCTCCTGTGATTGCAACCACAGGCCCCTGGGGTCAGACAGTGACTACGAGCACTGAAGATGCTCTCAAAGGACTGTGTTGTCTTCTCTGTGTAGAGATAATAGTGGGGAAAACGCACACTTGCGCTGCTTTCGGGAAATTGACTCACTTGAGTTTCCAGGGATTTGTACGGGAGCGCCAGGGATAGGTCAAGAAGATGAGTTGTACTCCTTCCTGACTGGCCTATGGAGCCAGGTCATGCATTAGCCAGTTAATGAGCACAGTGTTGAAGGTTAACTCGGTTTTCTCCAGAGCATGGTTGATCCCATGAGTGATCAAACATATTTTTCTTCAATAGGCATCCTAGCAAACATTCATAGCAGGCATCCGTCATCTCAGTGTTAAAAGTCAGTGATCCTGTGCCTATGAAAGCAAACCTTTTCGTATCCAGGAAACCTCTTTGCCCTTCTGTGTAAATGATTTACATTAATCTCAATTTTATGGTGATAACATATACAGCAGGTCAGGATTCAATGTAAATGTCAGGGCAGCTGGTGTATAAATATTCACTGACATATTCCTTATCCCTGTAACGTGATGGGGGGTATTTTGCCTCTTCAAGTGCTGGAGTCCACAGATCTGTTAGTAAACTATCCGCTGAAGCTTCTCGCGGCTGACTTCAGGGATATTTTCTAGCCAACAATGAACTGAAAGGAATGATGCAAGGATTATAATTTTTAGTTTTCCCCAAACTCCCTTGAAGTATCACTGAACACAGTTTTCAGATTTATCTTTCTGAAAATGTCACTCTCGCCTTTGCATAAGGTCTGGTACTTGTCCCTCCATTAAACAGATGTCTCTGTCTTCATGTTAGAGAGTTGAAAACATAGATGTGGGTTTCACAAAACCCCTGTCCTACCCGCTGCCCACCATCTGCCATGTGACCCTGGTGAGGCACTAAATGTCTTTAATACTTATTTTCTCATCTATAAAATAGTAGCAATAACTACCTGGTAGATTGGGTGAGAAGACTAAATAATTGGTCATGCTTAATGTGTGTGAGCTGTCTATGGCGCTTTTTTTGTCTTTTCCTCAAATTCCACAGAAAACATTTGACTGAATTCAAGCACCTGAGGGACTTGAAATGCTAGTGTCCTTGGGCTTCTCAGACACAAGTGCTGGAGAAAACAAGACAGAACGAGATTGCTTTTTGATAGCCAAAAATAGGTTAAAAGTGAATATTTACATATAGATCTTTTAAAAAATACTGTTTTTTCTTTTTTATTGTGGTAAGATTTGCCCTCTTAACAAATTTTTGATTGTGAAACACCACATTGTTACCTCTAAGTGCAATGCTGTATGCCAGATCTCTAGAAACTCATCTTGGGTAACTTAACTGGAATTTCAAAGAGATATCGGTGTCCCTGTGTTCACTGCAGCATTATTTATAATAGCCAAGATGTGCAACAACCTGGATGATTATTAACAAATGAGTGGAGAAAGGAATTGTATGTGCTTAGATACATATATATACACACCAACAGCCACACCCACATATAATTACTATTCATCCTTAAAGAGTATCTTGCAATATGCAACAACATGGATTAACCCTAGGAACACTATGTTAAGTAAACTAAGCCAGTCACAAAAGAACACCTATTCCATGATGCCACTTGTATGATGTCTTTAAAATAGTCAAACTCACAAAAGCAGAGAATAGAATGGTGGATGCCAGGGGTTGCAGGGAGGAGAAACTGACAAATCTGAAATCAACATTGCTATTTTTCTCACCCACCCTACCAGGTACTTATTAGTTGCAAATCGTTTCTCCCATCCCACTAAATAGTTATTATGACTATTTTATAGATGAGGAAATGAGTATTAAAGGTTAAGTGCCTCACCAGGGCCACATGGTATTCTCAATGCTTCGATTCAGTAAATTTCTTGTGGATTCCAGCTTGGGAAATGGTGGCCATGTTCAAGAAAAGGGGCTTTTGGGGTACTCTGGAGCCTGCATGGTGAGAGAGGGCAGAATGGGGATGGAAGACAGCATCAACATACTCCCCTCCCGGACAGGTCTCCTGTGTAAGGGAAGCAGTTTGAGGACAGTCATCCAGAAGACCAACTCCAATACTAGGAGAAGGAGGGTGATGTCCTTAGGCAGACATGGTCGCTCATGTTCAATATGGCGGACAGAACACAAGCTCTGCTATTAAAATCATCTCAATTCATACTTTGGCTTCATGACTTGCTACACATGTGACTGACAAATCCTTTCGGTTCTCTTAGACTTTGGTTCCTTATCTGCAAAATGGTATGACACCACCTGACTTAGAGTTGGTGTGCACACAGATTTGCATAAGGACCAAGGAGAATTTAGGGGTAAAAGAATAATAAATTTAACCCCTTTCCTTTGAGTGTCAACACAGTTAGAGAGTTTCAACACAATTAGAAAGTTTTTGATTAGGTAAGTTGGCCTCATCATAGGGTATTTGAACAGGTAAGAATCTGAGGTGCTTGGGGGAGTCAGAGACCATGAGGGAGGGGACAGTTTCTCTAGGTGATGTGGTAGACATCCTTTTTATTGAACATGATGGTCATTTCCCAAGTTGGAAGCCACGAGAAAGTTACTGAATCGAAGCATAGAGAATGTAATGGTCCCTCAAACATATCCATGCTCTAGTCTCTGGAAACTGTGCACATATTACCTTACCTGGCAAAAGGTACTTTGCAGATGTGATTAGGGTTAAGGACCTTGAGATGGGGCAATGATCCTGAGTTATCCAGGTGAATATTATCTCATCACGGTCGTCCATATCATTGGAGAAACTTTCCCAGCTGTGGATGAGGAAGCTATGACCAGAGAAGAATGATTAGAGAGATGGCCACATAAGGAAGACTTGACTCCATGCTGCTGACTTTGAAGATACAGGATGAGGGCCAAGGGGCCAGTGAATGTGGATGAGTTCTAGAAGCTGGGAAAGGCAAAACATTGGATTTTTTCCTGGTTTTTCCATAGAGGAACACATCCCTGCTGACTTGATTTAACCCAGTGAGATGCATGGTGG